ATGTATGACTATTAATTTGTAGTCTTTCTCCAATTCTTTTGTTTGTCTGAGAAATAATGTCCTATTTAAATAGTATTGATCATAAATTATTATAACTCACATCATAATACATATAAACCTTTATTATAACAAGAATCACCCCTGTCTTACCAAACAAGATTTAAAAGCTTTTATCAAGCCTTTAAGGTTACTGATAAAACAAGCTTATTCTTAATTGATTATTTTTGTAAAGTTTACCTAAAAAAAAAATTTTAAATTATTTTAATTTGAATAAAATGTTTACATACATGTAGTGATTATTTCAAACTTTAGTTCACATCTAACTTATGATCTAGAAATGATCTTTTGATCTTATTTAATCTACTAGTATAGGAAAACATAACAAACGATTCTGTGCAAAAAAATTAATATGTACCTTAATAATAATTTTTTTGTATACATACACGTTTTTTTTCTATTTTAAAACAATTGAAATCACATGTTTCACAATTATAAAAAAGATCAACAATCGATTTTGTCACAAAGTGATAAAACGAGTGTTCATTATGCTTGTTTATATACAGTAATGATACAGTATGCTTATAACACATATGGCCCAACTTGGGCCGAGAAAATTCTATGCTTTTAGACAGGTTATGCTTATATACAGTATGCTTTTAGACAGGTTTTACTGTGTTTTTTTATTTTTGATTACCTATTACCAATTCGTCTTTTTTTTCTTTTACTGAATCGAATTCTTCCTCTTTTTTTTTTGCCAACGAGAAATCATTGAAGAATCAATAGTAAAGTGACACTAAGCTGGTCTTAAATCATATTGTTTTGCATATTGCAAAACTTGGAGCTTTTCAGCAACAGAATATGAAGACGTTTGACTTTTTGCAGGGAAAAAATTAATTAGAACTTTACACAAATGATGAAATAAGGAAACAAAATGTCTCGAATACAAGCAACACCGCAGTTTTGTCGACTAAAACGTGTCAAAATTGTGTTGCTTATATTCCAGACAGTATGGTATATATTTATTAAGAAAAATTACGATTATCATAAAAATAATGTCATTTTTTGACCTAATTCGTTTTGTAATAATAAAACTAACCAATTCTTTTTTTTGTTCAATAAAACACCTTTGTGGTGGAAGTTAAAACAGTGGAGTTTAATTGTTTGATTTTCACTCGCAGTTTAGGTTTCGCCAACTTCGCCGCAAAATTAGGCATAAACTATGGGTTAGTTCTGGCCATCATTCATTAGCCTTGTGACTTTAATTATGTATTGCGTCACGAAATGTCTTGAGTTACGTCTTGCGTCACGAATTGCGTCCTATATCTCTTGCATAATGAATGTGTTTTGCGTCACGCATAACACCAATTGCAGCTTTTAAACCACCATAACTGTTTTGACTTTTATAGTTAATTAATAAAATTTAGGCATATAAACTTATTATTATCTAAATTTATCCATATGTTACAATTAGGTTGACCTGAATTGGTCCCCTGATGATATAATAATAACATGCAATTAAATTTCAGGAAGGAGCACAGTCCTGCAGTTTGTTAATTACATTGTTGTCAAAGAGAGTGTTAAAGCCTTTCGCTTGTCTGAAACCTTCCAACTTATAATTTGCCTTAACCTGTGGAGAGAATTATATAGCATGAGGCATGCATTGCATGACGCTTGCATGCTCATTGAAGGAAAATTTTATTAAATCTGGCACCTGTGATCAGGGTTTGCATGGGTATATTGACCTGCGCTTGTAAATCCAAATCCACCACCACTATATGCTGACAATAATCCATATACAATACCGATCAACAACTCCAACTCCACCATCTAAATCACCAACTTAAAATGATAATCAACCATCCCAAGCAAAATCATCACCAACCCAATTATCATTATCTGATTTTTATTGTCATAATAAATACAAAGTCACAATACACTTGAACATATTGGATAATCGTCAGGGTGTTGTCCAATGCAAACCTGCCTATCAAAATCAGGTTTGTTCATTTTATTTTAATTTTTTTATGGAAATAATTTTTAAGGAACTCTACAACTTGCATTTGTATACAATTGAGAAGCACTCACATGCAAGAAAAGGGGACAAGTAGAAATGTGATCGCTAAAAAATTTTCACAACACCCATGGATGGAATCATTATCCTACATGGAAAATAAGATCAGATCAAAAGATCAAAGGTTTATTTTCCGACTTTTCCAAATTTTAGTTCCTTAAATTTCATTTCTGCCATAGTCTTGGGTAAAAGAAGGTTGTGGGAGAAACTCTTACAGGAATCAATTGACAGAGTTTCGACAGGTTAAACATTAATTGTTTATTAGAGTTTCGGCAGAGTTTCGCATTTGGGAATTTTGTTAATCGTCAGAATTTTGACAAGGCATATACTAATTGTTTATTAGGGCTTCGACAGAGTTTCGACAGTCACTAAGAGGTTTCGGCAAGCAACCTTAGTCTTGGAAATACCAATGTGTGGTTATGATTTAAATAATAATAATAATAATTGACGATCCCTTTGTGAATGGCAACGGAGAAATCCGTGGTTCTATTATTATATGATATACTAATATACTAATTTGATGATATCCCATTCTGATTCATTGTGTCAAATTGGATTTTATCAATCTTTTTTATATTTTTAGTATTTTAGAGCAAATGATCCATGACAGATATATTTATTCAACAATTTATCTTTCCAAATTTGGAATTTCTAAATATTGTATAATAATAATAAACAATTTTAAATTAGATTGTTTACCACACACAACACCAAACTAAAGACCAAATAAACATACATACGAATATGCATGCTTAATACTCCTCATCTAAGTAGTTGCTCGCCTAATAGAGCTGTGCCACTTTATTTATTAATAATAAAATTAAATTTAAAAGGTAGGACAAAGATTGGTCACGGGAAAAGTTTTCATAACATGAAGAAATTATTAAACAATGTATTTTAAAATATGTATAAAATAAATTCTAAATAAATAAAACCAACAATCTTTTGCGTTAATATATATAAAAAAAAAAATCAATAAAATCGTTTATATTCAACGAAATAATATGTCATATTATTTATATTATTATATTGCTATTACTGTTATTATCCGATTGGAACGAACATTTGACCTGTGCAACCTTACGAGTAGCTACACTAATATCAAGGTCACTAAAGAAACTCAACTTTGACACTATTTACTACCCCATATCAATATCGAAATTTGAATAGGTATTGCACTAAAATTTTTAAAATTACATTTATTCTTTTAGTATTCTTTTTTTTATTGCAACTTGAGAATATATTTTTAATGTTCCTATTGTGATTTTTTATTAGGTTACAATCATTCCAATTGTTCCTCAAAATGATTACGAAAGCAGCACTTGCACATTCGTTGATGGTTTGTTTAATCTGACACTTGATGTTTATTTTTTCCTTAATTAATTCATTTTCTCAATATATGATCTTTTTGGACTACGAATTCAAACTGCGATTATATAATAACTCCTATCTCTGCGGACAATTTTTATATGTTTGCAGATGATTATGAAATTACCAAATGTATAATATGATTTTTTTGTGGTATCACATGATAACCGTAAACTTGGGTTCAAAATTTTATTATTATCATTATATATTAATATTTATATTAAATAATATAAAATTTTGAAACTCAAAATGATTGGGCCCTTTTACACGCATCATTTGAAAATCATACGATATTAATTCATTTTAATTAGACAACTGTTGTTATTTACGAAAAAATTCCCCAGATGCTAACTAAAATACTAAAATGATCGTGTGTTATTTAATAAAAAACCTGATTGAAAGACAAATTTTGCAGATAAATACCTATTTTGGTCATAATTAAATGTAAAATGAGGCTACTAAAAAAACTAAATAAATCAAATGACACATCCTCTTGGCGCAGTATACAGTTTAAGGGGGTCCTGCGTCCTAACAAATAGGCCCTTAAGAGAAGACGAGAAAATATGGAATGAATCGGAGAGAGACTTGATGAAGGTGGATGGAAAAATCACTTAAATTGTTTGATGAAATAGCTCTAGAATCATAAAAAAATCGATGCCATTGAAGAGGATAAAATATTTGTTTATGGTCAATATTAAAGGATCTTGGATATGAAACTAAAATTATAACATCACACTAACTGTTATATGAAAGAAAGAAAAAATGAAACCAAAAAAGAATTTCCGAGGAAATAAATTATTTAATTGATACAAAAGCTTTTCAATGACCCGTTTTTGAATGATCAGTTATTTCTGGGGTATATTATTGAGAGGATTATATGATTTCCAAGAACTATGGCCGATCTAAAAAGCAAAGTTCGTGAATTAGAAGTTCCAAACTCATTCAAATTTTATTGAAAGAATGTAAAGAAAAATCTTGTAAAAAAAATAAAATAATGCAAAAAAGCCAATTAATAAATCATAAATCAAAATAGAAACAATAATAATATAATAATTAAGCTAAATAAGACCTAAAAAGCAGATAGCAGTAGTACAATTGTTCCAATTTGATCCCTGAAATTTTCTTTGTGGCAAGGGAAAAAAATATTTTTTCATTATTATTTAAAAAAATATTAATTAACAAATAATATTAATTAATATTTTTTTAAAAAAAAGAATTCACACTTTTAATGTTATTAAAAATGATTAGACGATTTTTATTATTACTGCTCTTTGCACATTGTCTTTTTGTTGTTCACTGGTGTCATTTTGGTACCATAGCGGCTGATGCAACCATCCTTGTGGTGGTAAGTTCTTTTATTATGAGTAAATAACTGATTTGTTTAAAAAATTCATTAAACAAGGATGAATGAATATTCTTTGTTAAATTTAAATTATTTAGGAAAAATCTGATCAATGATTCTTGTTGTTTTTTAATCGTTTGATTAATGATATTTCATTTCATTATTCATCAATTTTTTTATAAAAATAATAAGGCAACAAATGTAACATATCAAGATAGAATGGCTGCTTTTGGTCCACGGTTAACAGAAGAAGGACTTATCGGCAATCTTATTCCAATAGAATCTATTGAGGTTGATAATCAGAAAGGTTGTTTGAAATTAGAAAAAAAAATTGAAACTAAAAATTGGATAGCTCTTGTAGAGCGTGGCCAGTGTTCATTTATTGATAAAATACGTAATATGCAAGCATCTGGTGCTATTGCTGTTGTTGTGGGTGACAATGAGCGCAATAGTTTAATAACAATGTATGCTACAGGTAAATATGTTTTTTATTCTTATTTACTTGCTAGCTTTTTTAAAAAAAAATAAAATAAAATAAGATAAAATTAAACAAGAAATATTTTTCATTCTTCATGCTTGAATGAAACTTTTAGGAGATACTTCAGATGTAGAGATTCCATCAGTATTTATTGCACAAAATGAATATAGAGAACTTCGGTTACTTTCTTTATTAGTAAATCGAAATCCTTTAAAGATACAACTTATTAAAGATGATCTTTTACAGTGGTAATAACGAATCAATTGTCATCATTGTTTGAACGATTAATTATCAAATATTAATTTTTTTATATGATTATTTTATTATAGGCCATTATTAGATATAATTATTGTCATAATTTTGTTCCCAACGATTATGATGATATTTATTTATGTTTTATGGCACATTCGTCAACGTCAAAGACGTAAACAAGAAATTGCACCTCAACAAGTTGTTGGTAATTTGCCTACAAAGATTTTCTATTTATCAAAAAGACAAGAAAATGATCCTCAAGAATGTGCTATATGTTTGGAGGATTATGTTGACAAGGATGAATTGAGAATTATGCCTTGCAGACATGAATTTCATGTAATATGTATTGATAGCTGGTTAACCACCAGAAAAAGATTTGTGAGTATTAAATTTTTTATGATAATCCATTATTTCTTTAACCAAGAAGAAATGAATATTAATATTTTTCTTTTCTCCTATTTTTTTTAAAAGTGTCCAATTTGTAAACGTGACATTTGTATACCAACAGAAGAAACTCCTCTATTGTCAAATAATGAACCTTCTCCGTAATTCATGGTCTATTTGTAAACGTGACATTGGATTACCAATAGAAGAAACTCCTTTACTATCAAATAATCCATAATTCATGGTTTTTAAAAATATATACATATATATGAAATCAAATATTTATATTTATCTTTATGTACTGATAAATATATTAATTAAACAATATAAATATATTAATTATAATTAAATAATCTAAACAATTTGCTTTTTGATTATTATACTATAAAAACATGTATATACGTTTATATATTGCGTTTAAGAATCTTTTTCTTGACCAATATAAAATTAATCTTTTTCTTATCTTGAAATATATGTTTATTTTGTATTAAAAAAAAAAAGATTATTTAAAGATTTTCTTTCGAAATAAAGAATTTGTATTTTGTAGAAACTTTTTTTGGTGCATTATTATTTATCTGCATTCAGCCCATTCATTTTCTTTGCGTATTTGATCTTCTTCTTCCTGTGTAAAATCATTCTGTATATTGAACATAGATCTTATTTCCTCGGGTGACCTCTCTCTAATCATATTTGCAATATTTTTACACGAAATATCCCTAATATTCATTAATTAATAATATTATTCACACACGTATAAATACATATATATAAATACTGAAATACACATATAAATATTATATTTACAATAATGGTTTTATATCCAAATAATTTGCTGCCTAGAAAAACCAAAACAGAATTAATGATAAAAAATCTTTTTAAAAGATAATTAATATCATTTACCAAGATAATCTCAAAAAGCATATCATGCTCCAAATCCAAATATTTTTGATCCCAATCATCAATCTCAATAAGTTTCTTATGAGCATCATCATGGTCATCGAATAAATGTGAATCTTTTGCATGATATTCACACCATTCAAGCACCTAAATAAATAATTATTTATTTTTAAATACTTTTTTTTTAAAAAAATAATAAATGTTTTAAATGTATATACTTACTTTCCTTAACACTGTTTCTTTAACATTAGGAAGAGGAATTACTTGATCGGTGTCTCCAATGTCTAATTATCGAGTAATATTAATAAAACTAGGAAAAGCCATTCATATAATAATAATAAAATTAGTACCTTCAATCATATTTTTGAGCAAGACGGAACGACTAGCAGCTAACACATTAACTGTGAACTCTACCTCATCGTTGCTTTTCAACGTAACCTTTTGAGTTTCCATTATTTTATCAATAGTAACTGAGGCCATTATATTTATTTTTATATAGGAATTTACTAATAATTTATATTGTTTAAAAATTGAATTGTGAAAAATAATTCTGCATCATTTTTATATGATTGACGAAGATGTTACACGAATCGCTTAATTGTAAATTTTTATTTAGGTAACGCAAATAATCCTTGGAATAGATAATTCTTCGAATTTCCGCTTGTTGATTGATTCGGTCCATGACTTACTTCCTTTTCCGCGTGACTGGGAATTTATAGATTTTTCCTGATCCAGATTTTTTTTTATCTGTATCAGGGTTACTTATCTACTACCACTACTGGGATATTCACACTTGTAATTCCCCGTCACCAATCAGGATTTTCGTGTAATAAATTCAAAAAATAAAAAATTCCGATTTGTATGTACGCGTTATAATGAATTTATAAATTAATCATAAAATAATTTATTTAATATATTGGAAGAGGAATATTGAGAATGAGTATTTAGAATATTTATTTAATATATTGTATATTAACATTAGTACGTTACGCATGAATTTACACACATAATGTCAAATAGAATCGCCATTTATTTATAAAATATACAATACAGCATCGATGAATATAT